CTCATTCTGTGAACCGGAGGCATCACTCTCAGAAGATGTTTCGCCGGTATTCTCTGTAACAGAACTGCTGGAAGTGTCAGAAGGAGAATAAGGTTGTGTGATTGTAGCTTCTTGTGGTTGTGTATTGCCCTGCGCATCACTTGTGCCTTGTGTACCATTACCCCTCTGAATACTCTGTTCGTTTCCAGGTGTTTGTTCATTATCCGTACCATTGGGGTTTTCTGAGTTACCAGGGCTTACTGTTGGTGGTTCACTGTCAGAGTGCCCTCTGCCCCTATCTACACCTGATGGAACATCTTGAGATGGGAGATGAGTGGAGTCGCCTTGTTCTTTAGAAGGATGAGATCCTGGAGTGGGTGTATGATTGACGACTTCTGTGGTCTCTACTAAAGAATCATCTGTGGGATTCCGAGATTGTGGATGTTCCTTCTCTTTTTCTGCCAACTCTCTATCCGCATCAGTACTTCGTTTTTCTCCATCTCTAACTTGTGGTTTTGCTGATAATGGTGGTTTTCCTGCTGGTGCATGAGGTCCATCACCACCATCTTTGCCAGAGTCGTCATCAGAAGAAGAAGGCAGACCATGAGGACCTTCTGTACCAGCAGGACCAGGCAGTCCACTAGATGGATCAGCTCCCTTTGGTGTAGTTGGAGCTGGTTCCTTTGGTGGACAAAGAGGTTTAGAATCTTCACGGCAATTTTCTTCACTTTCATCACCGCTGGTAAGGCAATTCTCCCTGTCAGAATGTTCCTTACACTCAGGAGAATCTTCAGTTTGCTTGGGGTTAGGTTTACACTTCGAAACAGTATTGCCTGGATCACGACAATCACCAACATCGGAAAGTAGACTTTCTTCCTCTTCATTATCTTCACCCGCCACGCACACACAGGCAACACTCCAAAGCAATGCCATAAAAAACAGTCGTCGCAGCAACATCATGCGAAAAAAGTTACTTGTATAGTTTAATGTAACCAAAACTCAAAGAAAAAAAAGAAAACCAAATAAAGAATAAATTATATACATACAAAAACACAAGGACAAACGCAGAAAAAGATAAAAAAACAAATCTTAGGAAAATCACAAGAGAACACAACGCTCAAAAAGATTAAGGAACCCAACAAAGAACACAATGCCCAGCACGGAAAAAAGATAATCCCAATTAACCCCTCAAAACAGAAAAAGCATTGAGAGAACGATTATCAGAAGCACAAAGCACAGAAATACAAAACATTTTCACTTTCAGTCGAACCACGTACACAAGTATGAATATATGTGTAATCCTTATTATTGTTTTTCCGCACACAAAACAATCCAACAGCACAGTGCAGGAGAAAGCACACAGCGCCCACAAAAAGAAAAAGAAACAAAAAAAATTGAGAGAAGCTCCAACCGCAGAAAAATAATACAAAACTCTAGATAAGCTGGTGAGTGTATGTAATTAAGAACACACATATATATAAATTAATACTTTTTCTTTTCTCTGCCCAAAACAAAAAAGGGAACCACAAGCAAAAAAACAATTATTAACCATTAGCCCAACGTACCCAGTGAACACACAGAAATACACACCAATTATGGGTGTAAGCCCATATTTGTAGATACTCGCAATTATAAATATAAATTCATCTGTTATTATTATTTCCTTTTTCCCACTACAAAAAACAGTTCATCATTACATTGCAAGCCCAGGTGCACACACACAGAGAGAGTCTCCAAGAACACACACACACACACAATGGAGTAGTAGCAATAATAATTATTATAGGATAAACACAAAGAGAGCAAAAACACACACAAAA